ATAAAATACTTTGACAACTTTGCTCAGAATAACAATTGAAACTTCATAATTAAACTACACAACTATGTTATGATGTTCTTCTCTTGTTCTTCCCCACCAACTATCAGGCCCACTGTGATGTTAATGCGTACTCAAAAAACAACTGATAGCTCAGACAATATCTCAATCCTTTCACAAATCTGCCAGTCAGAACGTTAGGAATACTAGACAGATATTTCACACTATTCTATAAATTATCCAGACTATAAAACTCATGCAATTATATGAATAAAGTATGAAGCCGTAACCAATGGATTTCAATCTGTATCGGGTAGAGATAGGTGTCTACTTCAGACAATGGATGAATGGTTGCGCAAGATCATGGCTTGATTGGGGTCAGACATAAACGCCACTGGATGCTGGCTCACTGGTTTAAATTTTAAGTGTTCGTGCGCGAAACTGAAGGTCTTGTCTTCGAGTCCCGTACGCGGAATCATGGGTGCTCACTGCTTAGGAGTCCTATACTAGATCGAAACGGTCGTTCAGTGTTCCCAGGTTTTCAGTGGTGGCCTAGCTTACATTGACTTATGAATTCAACTATTAAAGTATGATTCACTATAAAAGTAATATGTCAGTGTAAATATATCAGTGCTAAAAGATGTTAATCGAAGCCCAAATAACTCAGTCTTTATGTTTCAGACTACAAAGCTGGATGAAGTAAATACCAATTACATTGAGATTTTCCATTCCCCCAAGAGTGAAGATACGCCTTGCTAACGAATAGCAACTAACACGAAGCCTGAGTTTAGCGTTTCCAGCCGACTACCTCCAACCACCTAAAATCTCAATTTTTGCACGAGATGTTGATTCACTTAAATCAGTGGCTACATTGAGACTTGACTGATAGAATTCGATCAGCAATCAAGGACTAGATAAACATAACGCACTACTCAGTGATCAATCAATATGAATTAAGCAATCAAATTTTCTCAAGTGGTCGACTACTTATCATCTTGATAGTGAATTTACTTGATTGTTGGTAACAATTATACTGTCATTGTCAGACCTAATGTCAGAACAGAACAAGTTACCACTCAATGATGGAGAAGAATACGATGAAAATCTGTGTGGCAAAATGAGGTATACTAATTTGGGGGTAAACCTTTTCTAACTATGTCTTTCTGTTCTGGGTAAACAGCATCACTGTAAACGCTGTTTGTCTGAAAACATCTTACTGCCATAACATCCAGTACAATTAACTGTACGACTTCGCCCCCGGACCATATGTTTACTGCCTTTGGTGTTACTGTTCTCCTGAAGAACAAGTAATTCAGCAAATATAACTTTATTGGAAGTCCTCTTATGAACAAGCTTAACTATAACATCAAGGTACTCCTTTCAATTTTTTTACATAGAAATTTTCTCCTCAATATAAACAGATCTCTCAGACTTTAACTAGAGAAAAAATATATAACCCTTTTTCCTTACTGTTAATGAGAATCTGACTAATATGTCAGTTAGTAATTGTTAAATTCATTAAAGATCAGTTATATTGAATATTTATATCTCTCTCCCTGACTCCAATAAGGGGGGTTTGAAATAGACGAGCAATAAAGTAATGAAAATAACACTAACCAATAGTAATAAGAGACAGATTATTTCATAAAAGATTATTTTGTTTTATTTAAATGTCTATCAATAATCTCCAATAAACTAATACAAAACAAAAAAAATGAGAAGAAAACAAAAGACAAACAAACAATTTGTGTGAAAGATTAGTAGGGATTTCTCGTAATTTCAATTCCACTGTTATTCCCCTCCGTCTCTCTCTCTCTCTCTCTCTCTCTCTCTCGTTCTCGATCTCTCCTTCCTTGTCACAAAAACAGACAAACATATGGAAAACAGATCACAGAAAATTTCCCACTTTCCTTCCTTAGAAAAAATTTCTTCAATATGTCTATTCCCTTTGTTTAAATACACATTTTTGCACACAAGCACCCATGTACAAGATAAAAATAATCTTACTCACAAAAAGAGAAAAAAATGTCATCTATTACACAAAACCAAAGAGTACAAGAGGGAGTTCATCGAAGAAGCAGATTCCCCCCCAAAAAAAACAACGATTTAACCTTTTGAATGGACGCTTTAAAAAAAACGAGAAAAATCAAGTACCTTCCAATCCCATTCTATTGTTTCACCTTTAAACCATCACCATATTGTCTTTTTTTTAAAAAAGGTGTTTTATAGTTTGATTTTTTTTCAGAAAAATATTTCCTACATATTTTTGTGGTTAACCATTTTCCAAAAATGATCTACCCTCCTGCAAATGTGCATATCTTCGATTCATTTATATGAATATACAATACAATAAAGGCAGTCATAACAACAGATAAAATATATCTACTGAATAAAATCAAATAAAAACAAATCGTTCCATTTTGTTGCTGTTGTCTTAACAACCAAATCACTGTTGTTGTTGGTGTTGGTGGTAGGGGTGGTGGTGATGGTGATGTTGTTTTTCTTTTTTTAGAAAAAAATAATCCATTAAAACATTTTTTTAAAAACAAACAACCAAACATAAGATGTGTACCTTAATTTCCCAATTTTCAACACCATCCCGTTATGATTTAAACATTTGAGGTCACATTGAATCTGTGTACGTGTTTATGTATGTATGTATGTATGTGTGTGTTGGCTTGAAAGGCAAATTGTTCAAAATCAATAAATCATTAAAACAATTATTATTATTGTGAATGAATAAACAACAAATTGTATCGTATACACAAACATACAAAATAATCGAGTGTTCAAATTGATTGATTGATTAATTGATTGATCAATAAATAATCGATTAATATTTCACCAACTCAATTGGATTGATTAATTGATTAACAAACAGACTAAATAGAAAAAAAACATCACATACACACATCATTGATTTCGTTGATGAATGAAAGAAATTAATAATAATAATGGTAATAAAGTCATCTTTGAAGAGTTTGAAGAGATCAAAATACAGAAAGAGAAAAAAAGACAAGAAATCAAACTAATAAAAAAATGAAAAAAGAAACACACTGTAAAATGCTTCATGTTTAGTTAAGCCATTGATTACAAAATTGATTTTATGTATCAGTTACATGTGTGCAAACGCATTCCAATACATACACACATACACAAACTTTACACATGCAGTACGTATGTACGTTGTTTGGTTGTTTAGACATATGAGCATGAATCATTCACTTTTTCGTTACATAAAACTAGTTGTTGTTGTTTTTTAGCAAAAAATAATGATTGTAAACAAACAATGAGGATAAAGAGAGTGCACTCGAGAGAGAGAGAGAGAGAGAGAGAGGAGAAAGGTACATTTAAGAACAGTGAATGATATCAATGTAATTTTTTTTAAATTGAATAACCAAAAAGACTTTCGATTGGTTTATTGACCCAATGATTTGTAACATAATTGGAATATCTAAGAAAAGAGGGAAATAAGGAAAAAAATTATCAGAATGGGGGTTGAGGAGATTGTTAAGTTTCTGATTGAGATTATGAATCGATCAATGTTAGATCATTATTTAGAGATTATGTGTTCATGTGCGAAATCAAAGGTCTTAGATTCCAATCCCGTGTACGAGGTTGTGAATGTGCACTGCTGAGGAGTACCATAATAGAACGAAGCGGATGTCTAATGCTTTTAGGTTTCTAATGGTGGTCTAACATTGATCTATTCATGATCTCAATTAAAATAAAAATAGAGCTTGGAAATAAATGGAAATTTATTTTCTACAAGAAAAATTTTGAAACAGCTAGCCCATCTCTGTATGTATTAAGTGTGTGCAGTAAGTTGATCACCATGATGAACACGTGTTCAAAAATTGTCTAATTGTTTGTATATGTCAGAAGGTGGTTTTGTGGAGATTTTAGTAATTTTATATAGTTGAAATCATGAGTCAATTGAAGCTAGACCACCATGGAAAACCTGGAAGCACTGGACGGCCAACTCGTTCTATTGTGGGACTCCTCAGAAGTGCGCATCTATGATCCCACCTTGTGAGATTCGAACCCAGGACCTATCAGTCTCACACGCGAGTGCTTAACCACTAGACCGCTTAGCCGGTCGGCATCCAACGGTGTTAGTGTCTAACTTCAACCAATCTACGCAATTGTGTTTACATGTGTTTACATAAGCTTGTAGGTATGTATGTGCATCTTGCCCTATATGATTTGAATTATTTCTCTAGTAAAAGCTTTGTGTTTATCCCACCCCCAAACACAGGTATCTAGTTAATTGTAATCCACACATAAGAAATTAACTGAATACGAAATGGTATCATAAAATTTAATGTCAGCTTACAAATAATTCACTGCATAAATACTGGGCTGAAAATCAACATTGAGATACAGGTACATCCATCCGCCTAAGAGGCTAGACATAATTCAACTTTAATGAACCTTCATCAACTAACTGGTTATATTTGAGTAATTTGGCCAGGGTGAACATATATACAGATAAAGACTAATTAATTACAGTCCATAATATCAACAATGAAAAATACAAACGTTAATACCCGTTGGACAAGTTAGTAGCTGTGTGAATTCATTGGCTCAGTGCATAGCAACACTTGATTACTAAGTTCAAGTTTCAATATGAATATTAACACTGATATTCAAATACATAAATCTAACGAGCATCATTTAAGAAGAAAATTTTAGTCTTGAATTCCACTACTCAAGCCAAAATCCAACACTATAGGATAATTCATTTTGTATTGGTTGTGTTGAATCTTCCCATTGATGCTTAGGATTGAAATTGGTCAGTCACTTATTGGCAAATGTGAATACTACGCGGATTACATCGATATTGCCAGTAGGTCACAAGCGTTATAAGCAAAGATGGATAATGGGTAGCAATGGAACCCCGGACGGGCTTTTCGTCGTATTTGGGACTCGTCAGCTGGATATACCTACTGTACCGTACTACCGATACTTGAGAAAAAAGGACTAGACTCACTTCTTAATGATTATAATAACATTTGCACATGTCGATTAGCTTTATCTAATCCAATTAAATGATTAGCAGGATTCAATGAAAACGCTGGTGAAGCCGGTATTGTCACATGACAATCATTATTAGTATTATTATTGGCATTACTATTATTATTACTGTTGGTTTTAAGTAAATGGCTTGGTATTAACCATTGATATAATCCACTCTCTGGTCTAGAACTATTATTCAATGCATCAGGAATATGTGTTATGGAACCTGGAATTGGTGTTGACGGAAGTAAATTACTTTGTTGTTGTGTTTGTTGTTGTTGGGATTGATGAGGATGATTAGCATAAATCGTACCATTCAGAGTAATATTCTCTGGTGTACCAGTTAAACAATTACCAATTGGATCAGTTTGTATTGGAATAGTTGTTGAATTGTGTGAATTCAAAAAATTATGATAAGTGGCATTGAAAGTAGTATTTAGATCAGCTGTTGTTGGATAAACACATCCTTGTAAAGCCGGATTGGCCATGGCTGCCATGGCAACGGAGAGTAAGTGTTGTTGTTGTTTTTGCGATTGTTGATGGGACTGTTGTTGTTGCTGTTGCTGCTGTGCATGCTGATGAGATTGCTGTTGTGGGCGAAAGTAATCAGTCCCGTATAATGAACATCCATATAAACTGGTTATTAAGGTTAAAACAATGTGACAAGATAATTAATGTACAACAAAACAAAAAAAAAATTGAAGGGTTTTTATAGTTTACATCGTGGAATAAATTTAGTGAGATAATGGTTGAAAATCAGGGAGCATTAAACATCTGTTTGGTCTTGGCATTTGACTCTTCAGCAACGTTCATACACAAATCCAAGACATAATGGGTTCTTTTCCGGGCATTAAAGATTTTTAACAGTTGTTCAATTTGAAGATAGTATAGTATTATGGAACATTGTCAGTCTGATGCGATGAGTCAATCGGGCATATTAGTTTATGACTGCATTATGTAAGATGATGATGGACGGACGTTATTGGTCAAGATTTCGTTTCATTTTCTGAGTAAATCGACATAATCTATTAGTTCAAAAGGTGGCTTAATTTTCAGAGGAAAATGGACAAATATTTATGAAATATGGTTAGCAGAGATGGAGAGTGGCTAGCAGTGGAATCCAGGACGCGCGTCTCGTCCTATTTGGGACTCGTCAGCTGGATGTACCTGCATCTCAGAGTTGATGTTCACTCCGGGACTCGAACCCAGTACTCTCGCTTCAAACGCCATCGCGTTATCCACTCGGCCACTGAGTCCTGATAGCCACTTGCTTGTGCGATGGGGTGAAGTTTGAATTCACTTAGTATTGTTTGCTTGGATCTTCCCATCGATGTGTTTAGGACTGCAACTGGTCAGTCTCTAATTGGCATATGTGCATACTGTGCGTATTGCCTCGATATACCTTAATTCACAAGCATGGTAAGCAGAGATGGATAGTGGCTAGCAGTGGACCAATTATCCATCTCTGCTTACCATGCTTGTGAATTAAGGTATATCAAGGCAATACGCACAGTATGCACATATGCCAATTAGAGACTGACCAGTTGCAGTCCTAAACACATCGATGGGAAGATCCAAGCAAACAATACTAAGTGTATTTATGAAATAGTTGTACAAGTATCTTTGATTTGATTTATCTAATGCAAGCTTCCTACTCAATGTTGATTTTCTCACTTATGTGGCAGGTTGGGATCACGAAGAGGAAGCTTTTGTATTAATAACAGACTCAAAGGACGGCAGAACATAACGGAATCACTGAAATCCGAGTAACAGTGAACAGCTGTTTTGTTTCAGTGTGCGAATTTATAATAGTAAATAACTATCAATGCACTAGGGATGGAACTCATAAACTTTAGGTCTAAATACTACGCTGTCCAAACATCTTTTACTCCGATACACTGTGTTTGCTGGTGTAGGATTACGTTGAAAGAAAGCTAAGGATGGCTGTATAAAAATGTGGCATCAGTCGATGAAGTAACTGACTGTCGGACTAAGGAGTATTTATGAGTACAGACTACCTGGTTTGGATCCGCTTAATCGACGTAAAAGGTCGTTTCAGACTGCGAAACACTGAATAATTATTTCATTTTAATATGGCCCTCCTTAGTAACAATGGAATGTTATGATTTCTCCACAGATCGAACCTACTACCCTAAGGTCTCGAGGCAAGCAACTAATCTTCAGATTACTGAGTTCCCATCCAATAATTGATATTTCTATATATATTTACTTGAACATAACAAAAGCGAATTCAAGAATAAACAGTGAACTCACAATGAACACAAAAATACACAATTGTTTATCTATTTACTAACTGATTAACCTACCTAGGATCAAATAATTTTGTATCTGGAGAAGGAATAGTCGGTGTACCAAGTAGAGCAATTTGATTAGCTGATAATAATCCAGTGTTTAAATTCGGTGCACCATTTACAGTAGGATTAGAACGTAGACAATTATTCATGAAATTATTTGTTGTTGGTGATCCACAGAATATAGTTGATGCCGCAGCGGCTGCAGCAGCTGCCAGTGCAGCTAAATTTGATTCACGTGTTCCGCCACCATTGAAATCAGTAACTAAACCATTAGCATTATTAGTATTATTGTTATTTATACTATTGTTATGATTATAATGATTAATGTTAGTAGTATTATTACAAGTAGTATTGTTCGACGAATCATTAGAAAATTTAGTTGGTTGTATAAAACCATTTAATAATTCGGAATTAAAACGTGATGTAAAATCTGTTGTGGATTTTTGTTGTAAAGCGGAGAAATTTGCTAATTGGCTATTGACAATCGATGGACTAACTAAACCTGTATTTAATAATGATGCTAAAGCATCATGTGATGTTAATGTTAGACCATTCGGTGCTGTATATAAAGGACAATTCAATAGATTATTATAATTAACATTAGCAATCATTGTTGCTGAAGCGGCGGCGGCGGCAGCAGCGGCTGCCGCAGCTGCTGCAGTCGTTGCTGTGACAGGATAACGTCGTCTTCTTGTGTCTGGATTATGTTTATCAGCAAATTTTGCTTCAACTGGAACAGAACAATCAGGTAAAGTGAGTGGATGCAATTTTAAAGATTCTAAAGCATTCACTGCATCTTGTTCATTGACAAACCGTACAAAACCAACACCTATAAATAAATAAAAATGAGAATATGACTGGACGTAAATCAGTAAATTTACATGTTTATAAAAAACCTGTATAATAATTATAATAAGTACTACTACAATTATAGTTATTATATTAAGTGATATATTCCCGATGGCCCCCAAATGCCCTGGTACGGCCAAAAGTGAGGAGAGTCCGTTCTCCCTCTCCAAATGCTCTTACATGGCCACACGTATATAGCCTCTGCCACAGAAGTCCTACTCACTACCTTCTCGTGGCACTACTGTTGTTCACAAAATTGAGAGGACGAAAAGAGAATGTCCGGCGCTTTGACAGGGTTAGTAGACACGTAGAGTCCACCTAGGGGAGTTGGAAAATCCTGATCCCAAATCAATGGTGCACATGGGCTGGTTCCAGGATCCTGAGTGAACAAATGGAGTATGAACCTATTGTTGGTCACCGGCTACCATGGGACTGCATCTCCTTACGATTCTCCACTGCCTTGTGGATCAGATCTTTAGGTCAAAGGTTCCGAGTGTGGCCCCTAAGAAAACTACCTGTTTCAGTTTGGGCACCTGAGCAGTATAACAGCCCTCACACAGATTAAATGAGATTTGTGTGGCGCATATTTATCTGGTGCCCCTTTGTATCAATATTTATGTGTTTAAATAAATAAATAAATATATTACCGATGAAAATATTTGACGAGACTAATTTATGGACGAACCAATCAGATATAAGATAACAGGTCTTGGATTTTGGCGTGAAATTAATTCATTAATTTGGCTAAATTGAGTTTTGGCATTATACCTGATGTCAGTTCGTGATAAATCCTTAAATCTAATCCCTAACCTTAACCATCAATTGTAAATCCTAATTTTAATTACTCACACTGATTTATTACCCTCATTTCGTCCTAGGTATTAGATGGACACGCTCAAGGTTGCTTTAGCATCGCTCAAAGGTCGTCTATGAAATATAGTCCCACTGAATATTTTTTACTCTGTTCAGTAGGTTTGAAATAAGAACTTAATTATTGGGATTCAAGTCATTCGTTAATTGATTCAAACTTAAATAGGTATATGACCATTAATATTGTTACTATTTATAACTGGAACACTTTTGTAAAGACTTTGTCGTATCATTTATAAATCATGAACTGATCTTTGACAGCTATCCATCGGAAACCTGAGAGGAATGGACAGACCACATATATTAATATGAGACTCCTAAGTAGTGCTTATTCATGAATCCATCATGGAGGACCGAACCCTAGACATTTAGTTTCCTGCATGAACACCAACTTCTAAACCACTGAGCCAATATCCATTAGTATTAGTGTCCAACTTTAATCAATTTACGATATTTCCCACCCCCTGTCCATTAGTTAAGGTAGATAACTGTCTCATATCTGAAATGGTTTAACTCCATTGTTCACAACTTTTCACTATGCCTCCAGAAGTTTCATCATAAAGTCAACCACATGTAATCACATGGGTATTACTAGTATAGGAAATTTATGGTAATTGTAAAGTTTTCACAGTTTAAGTCACAAATCCCGGATTATTGATTTAGAGGTTAAGTGTTTGCACACAAGATTGAAGGTCCTAGGTTCGATTCTTTATTGTGGGATCGTGAATGAGAACTTCTGAGGTGTTCCATACTCATATAAATGTCTATTCAGAGCTCTTTGATTTTCAGTGGTGTTCTAGCTAAGTTCAGGATTTAAACTATGAAAGTTCTACAACTCCTATAAATTCCCCTATACTAACAATCATTCATAAATTTTGGTTTTGAGCCCAGGTAGGGTTGTGTAGATGTTTGTATAGTTCACCCTAATACTGAACTGTTTTAAAGTTGAAAACGAAATATTCTATTTTAAAAATAGTGCGAAGCATTTTTCCATAGCACTTCATTTTTATAACTTTTTTTTATTTTTTAAATTACAATCATCACCACTAACCAGTTGTTTTATTGGTTAAGCGTTCCATCATAACAAATGCTGATTGTATATGACCAAATCGTTCAAATACTGCTTTCAATTGATCACTATCTTTTGTTGTCCATGTTCTTGGAAGATTTGTCACATAAAGATTAGTTTTATCTTTTTCATTTTCCTAAAAACAGAATAATTAACGACAATAGTAACAATCAAAAAAATAGTTGAAATAAAATCGATTTTGTTAAGCCAGTTTAATTAGAATGGTGGCTACCAGTAGAGTCAAGGATCCGAGTTTCGTTCTATTTAGGACTCGTCAGCTAGATGCAACTATATCTTAATTTTACTGTTCATATGGAGATTTGATTCCAATAGCTTCAACTTGAAGCAGTAAAACGTTATCTAATGAGCTAATGGGTTCATATAATCACTGGTCTTTGTAATTGGTGTGAATTTTAATCTAATTTGTAGTGGTTTGGATTATCTCGTTGCTGATATCCATGACTATATTTTGGTCAGTCTTAGTTGGCATATGTGCATTCTATGCGCATTGCCTCGATATAGACAGTATGACACAAGTTTATATAGAATGGATGGAATGTGGCTAGCAGTGAAATTCATGACACGGATTCTATCCTATATGGGACTCGTCAGCTGTCTTTACTTGCTTCCCACTGTTGGTTTTCACTCCTGAAATTGAACCCAGTGAAGAATATACCAGTAGAGAATTATGAGGTTCATTCCTTAACATCAAAAATGAGAGAGCATTCACTCTCATAAATGAAATAGTAACAAATATTTAGGATAGAAAAATTATCCAGATAATTTGGTTTCTGAGCTAGTTTACACCATAAATTATATCTAACTAGAAAATTAATGAAAACCAATAAGCATGCAGAACAGTTATTTCATCCTAGTATGGAACTTCTTAACAGTATGTAAGTGCCATCTCATTATGAGTTGAGTTCTGAACTTTTAAGTCTCACGGTGTTATATCCCAGTGAAAACATAAGTACAGGTAACTTCAAGAACCTATTAATGGACTATTATTCAATATATATTCCTAATGTATAACTATTTAGTAACTATATTATGTATATCTATATTCCTCTTATTATAAGCTTCATTTTGACTTATAAACTATTATTATACGATTTATTGTTCCCAAATTATGTTCAGTTTATTAATTACCGTCTCCCACGTTCACAACGACATTTGGCTTGATTCTGTACAAATATTATTTTCTATTTTATGGTGTGATGTGGTCTGTCTGTCTGGTATATAAACCAGATATGTTTGGAAAAAATGATTCACAAAGCAGAAGCTGTAATTGGTGTTGCGGACTCAACTGAAAGAGCTAGGCAAACAAAGGACAAATAAAGACGCTAGGCTGCTCATACCGGTCGAACGGAGTTGATCTGGCACAGTGTTAAGATTGGATAAGTTGTATTTCGATTTGGGGATTATTCACATGATAAAAAGCCGGACATAAATTCACAACACATAGACCAAGAGATTGCTTTACACCACTGATGTAAATCACATTTTTATAATAACTCCTAAGATGAAAATTCTTTTTGTGATTTTATTTTTTAGAAAAATTAATATCTGCAAATATAATGATCTTAATTATGATTGGCAACTCCAACTGTAGCTCCTCCGGGGGCTACTGCCAGTGTCAAGTCCGGATAAAGGAGGAGGGTTGGGCATGAGATTAGCGACCCAATACCGTAGAAAACAAACTCGCTAAAAAAACGCTAACCAGAATTATGATTAGTCAGTGTGAAAGTAAGGATATTGTGTATTGTTGTTTTATACTCATTATTTAGATGAGTTAGTATAATTAAAAATGAATATTTCTGTGCATTGTAATATGAAATAATGATATGAACACTAATAATTTTGTAAGTGTTTTAATGTTATCTATTGAGTGACATTAAATATGTAAAGATGAAATGAACAAAAAAATATTTTCATAGTTGAAAGCGTTAGTCAATTGAAGCTAGACCACCATGGGAAACCTGGAAGCACTGGACGGCCGTTTCGTCCTATTATGGAACTCCTTGGATGCCGGCTCAGTGGTCTATCGATTAAGTGCTCTAGCGCGAGACTAGTAGGTCCTGGGTTCGGATCTCGCGAGTGCGGGATCGTGGATGCTCACTGCATTTTCCTACCAATCGCGCTTCATTTCAGTTCTTTCCTTACCGGTCTTCTGCCAAAATACATTCTATGTCTGACTATCACCATATACTACCTATGTAGATATAAATAGACCACACCACAGTAATATATATATATATACAAAGCTGAAAAATTCTAAACTACGGTAGAAAAACTGTACATTATTCCATAACATTTTCTTTATAATCATTTCCTAACTAACTTTAGTCCGTAATAAAGACTAGTATACAAATTGAACCCAATCTTAAAACTATTTGTTTACTGAAACAAAAAAAATGGTGACTGGACATAAATTGTACATTGAAAAGTCATAAAATTATCGTCACCATGATTATTTATGCAACATTAAGCACGTTTTAATGAATAATGTTAAGAAACGTGATTTTTTTTTAAAAAAAAAAACAAAGCAAAACAAAACAAACTAATTAGACACTAAATTTAATCCTAATTTACAGTTTTGGTAATCACTGTAGTGTGATCCTAGAACATTCTACAAAAAAAAAACAAGAAAGAAACTACCATTTCACTCTTCACTATAAATCATTAAAACTCTTGTATACAGGTATTCAATAAAATCTATAATTATTAACTGAATGCATGTATTTGACAAATTAGAATTCCAGTGAAAATCCATTACTAATTAGTCTTTTTGATAAGTCTTGCTGATTCATGCACTATATTCGGATTCTAAACTGGTCTCGTAACCCCTAAGCTAGAACTACACAGAGACTTGAATACGAGAGAAAAGGCGCAAAATATATAGGAGAAGCACTTTACTCCAAAGATTCATTTATGTACAGAAAATATAGGGTTTTTATAGTATTTTAGAAGTCCTTGGGTTTTCCTGAAAATTCTAGAATACTACTAAACATAGTAGCAGCATAGTAATCGGCCGATCAAAACCTCTACATGTGACTTTTCATTTTCACGATATTTCTAGCAAAACGTCTAATCAAACACTGATTGGATAAAATGCTTCTTAATGTTTCCTGAGCTTGTCATGTCTATTGCGAGAAATTTTCAGTATTACCCCAACACTTTTTAGGAGAACCATTAGCTGAATCTATATGTATCTTAATTTTGATGCCTACACTGAGATTTGAATCGAGTACCAGTTGGTTAAGACACTATCATGCTATTCATTACGTTAGTAAGTTCAGATAGCTACTAACTTATTCAATAAGTATAAGTATAAGGATTTGTATTATCTTGTTAGGCAATATATTTAGATATACCAAAAACTTATCAGTGAAAAGAAATATTGAGGCAATCTATTCAAGAAGCACATATAACAATAGAAGCTAATCAGTAGTCAGTTTAGATATCAGCAATATGGTAATGTAAATACCTACGAATATTTAAATTCACTTGGTATTGTTTGTTTGAATCTTCCCATTGATTTTTAGGGCTGAAACTGGTCAGTCTCTAATTGCTATATGTGCATACTGTGCGTATTACCTTGATATTGCCTTAATTCACAAGAGACTGACCAGTTTCAGACCTAAACATCAATGGGAAGATTCAAACAAACATTACTAAGTGAATTCAAACTTCACCCCATTGCATAAGCAAGTGGCTACCAGAACTCAGTAGCTGAGTGGATGACGTGATGACATTTGAAGCGAAACGTATTGGGTTCGAGTCCTAGAGTGAACATCAACTCTGAGATGCAGGCAAATCCATCTGACGAGTCTGAAGTAGGACGAAACGCGCGTGATGGATTCCATTGCTAACCATTATTCATCTTTGCTTACCTTACGAATATTTGTTTACCAATAATTATTAATAATTAGCTATGAATTTAGATTTCTTCAAATTAATTCGTAAATTAACTAACTAATTACTATTTCACCGGGCATTCTACTTCGCACCTAAAGTTTGAATTCATTTTCTTTGTTTCACTACAATATGATGAAAATCAATTTATATCATATTATGTCCTAATAAACCAATAAGAAACTAGAAAACCTATGGCGTAATGCAATTGGTGGAAAATCAACCAATAGACTTTTGTCTTGAAATAGACCTGTGGATTAAAGAGTCAAAATAACCATCCTTCGTTAAATGTTCAATAAAAGTACAATATCTAGCATTTTCGAGCATTTTCCTGTGTATATATAGTGTGTCAATGCTACATATAAGGATGTAATTTTTGATTGGGGACTTCATTTTAAGCCAAATCTCTCTCTCTCTCTCTCTCTCTCTCTCTCTATATATATATATATATATATATATATATATATATATATATATATATATATATATATATATATATATACTTTATGTAAACACGCTACCGTAGCACATTACAACTTACTAGATGAAAAAAAAACAAATAAGTTGAAATTTAGAACTTGAATTGAAATCTCCAGTGAAAATCATACCCTTATATGCAAAATTCACTCTCTAACTAAATGAACGGAAAAATGCTAGATATTATACGTACATTAAATATTAAGGGGTAGATGTTCTACAAATTTACGAAGACGCATCCAATCCAGAGTTAAATTCTAAATACAATATTTTGTATAGTTGAAATCACGAATCAATTGAAGCTAGACTACCATGGAAAACCTGGAAGTACTGGACGGCCGTTTCATCATAGCCTGGGACTCCTCAGCAGTGCGCATCCACGACCCTGCCTCACGGGATTCGAACCCAGGACCTATCAGTCATTTTATTAAACTTAATGGGTAAAAGTATAGTATAAAATGAGTCAATCAGAATCTAGTAAAACGTTTTCCATTCTTTTTGAAGCATTAAAAAAAGGATGGCTCCTATTGTAGATCATGTACAATGAGCATTGGAAATACCGTTGAATAGTGCTCAAAACGTTTAAAGTTACAACAACAAAAGCTTGCTTTTTTCCATCATAGAGTAAAAACGATAGTGTAACTTGTATCAAATCCTAATTTCTTTCTATGTTGATTCTATATGATACGTAAATCAATTCTATCTCTAAACCCTTAGTCCTGCCCCTAAACATGAATCTCTAAA